GGGGGGGGGGGGGGGGGGGGGGTATCACCACCCAAGACCCCTGTTACACGCCTGCTTATAAGTTCCGCCGGCCCTGGCACTCACAAGGAGATAGAATCTCATTCATTCATTCATTCATTCATTTATTTGGTCAATATCAACATATACAAAGAAAAAACAAATAAAACCACTTAAAACTATTTAAAACAGTAATTCAAAAGATTTTTTTTTTAATATGTAAAATTTCTTTTAGAAATATTATAAAAATCGTAGAAAAAAGGATAAGAGGGTTAAAAAAGATAAAAGGGTTAAAAATTTTAAAATACACAGAAACGAAATAAAGATTTAAGAACGGTAAAAGATAAGTTAACAACAATTAATAAAAACATCAGTATTGAGATTTATCGAAACCAATAAAAAGTATTAAAAAGGTAAAAAAAAAAGCAGTTTAAAAAGTTGTTACAGAGTACTGTGGTACTGTTAATGAAATTGTACGAAAAACACGGTATCATTAAATTAAATTTTTTAAAAAAATTAAAAAGGAGCAGATGAAAAAACAAGAAGTTGATATCGACCAGGATAGCCCAAGAAAACCAATTACATAGGTTTATTTCCGTTGGGGTCCTTGACAAGGTTTTATGACATGATTTCTTTCGTTATGACCCTCTCTTATTCGATAAGTAGTCTTTTACCATTTTTCTAAATAATGAAAGGCTGGCGGAGCTCTTTATTTTGCTTGAAAGTTTGTTCCATTCATGGATGACAGTAGCATAAAATGTGCCATCGATAGCTTTAGATGCTTTCGTTGGGATAAAGCTGCACAATTCTTCTAACTAAAACTAAAAACGAACGTTGAAATTTACAAACGGAAAAGGTACAGTGAAATGACGTCAGTCGTGAATTGTACTATTTTTATGGAATAAATATAATTCCCTCCAAATGACCGTAGTCACAAAGAGAATCGAAATAGGTGCTGTGTAAACATTATTATGTTTGATTTGGATGCATATTAACCAGCTCTTTTTAAATACACATGTCATTATGAATGATTACACACCACGAACTCTGACATTTTTGGTAAATTCTTGGCATACTAATTACGGAGTTATGAAAAATTATCTATATGATCGTGCTTGGTGATTACACAAGTATCATAATAACACGTAGGCCCATTGGTCACCTGACTTGGAAACTTTGTACAGTAAATAATTAAGAGTCATAGGCCTACAGGTCATGATGATAAGTATTGATCTATGGTCGCTAAAATTGGAAATAACCATGATCATAAAGGATTCCAATAGCTTGGCAATTGGGTAGGTTTGCACCGGATAATTTGGTATGTATGTTTCTACAGCAAGATCTTCTATTTTGTCTCTCTTACTCGCAAATTACAGTGCTGTGTAATGCTTGAGAACGTTTCTGTAAATCATAAGGCTAGTTATATAGTAGGACGGACATACCATATTCACCATTCGATCCATGAAAGTATAGTTAATAGTATATACGGTAGTTAATATATTGGACGTTGTGAAATATGAAAATGGAATTCCATCTATTATAAGCCGCACTATAAGTTAAATAATTCACACACACCTACACACCCCAAAATATGCAATGTAAATGGATATACATTTCTATATGAGAGATGGTTTCTGGTAGTTAGATCGTTAGATCTGCGCCTGAGGTAAACGTATAGGTCACTGTGGTTTACCTGTAAGACACTCGCCTTGATAGTAAGCGGTTGGAGTTCAATCCTAACAGAGATATTTTCTTCATACAACTAAAAAAAAAACAGTTCGTTGAAGGTCTATGCTTGATACGATTAAAACATATTGTTGCTATTCGAGCACCGTTGAAACAGAACCGAAATGCATACGTTGACTTTGGGTCTACCATGAGACAAACCTTGATCATCGATAGAGTTTGGTTTATACCTTATTATTCAATATAAACAGATAGTTAATATTAAAGACAGTACTCGTATAGGAACATATGTTGTTATAATCGTATCAAGCATAGCCCTTTAACGAACGATTATTTTTTCCAGTTGTATGAATAAAATATCGTTTACTATCAAGGCGAGTGTCTTAAGCCGGCACTCACTGTATAACAGGTTGACGAGTTTATTAATAACGAGCAAACAATGATAAGATACAGGAAAAAGGTTGTGTTAGCAAATTTTTCAGCGGTGTTACTGAGCCAGCTGAATGCTAGACTTTAGGTATTCGGTCGTACACAAGCACATACAGTATACATCGGTATGTGCCTATATATGTGCATTATGTAGTAAAACATGGTTTATACGATACTATGTCCTAGTTATGCTTATTTTTGTCTCATGAAAATTAAATGAAAGTGATATACACAACCGGATGACGTCACGTTTCAATTTTTACACAGTTTCGATGCTTTCACATTTTGAAATCTAGATTAACTTGACTTCCTTCAACCTTAATAGTAGCTTAGAAAGTAATGGAGTATTGTTTATGCTGCCCTGCGAGATACAGGCCTACAACTCCACCATACGAGAGCACTGCTGAAGAACGACAGGCCTTAATTTCGTAAGTGAAATTTTGTGAATGCTCTAAATAAAGTATATCTCTTTTCTACAAAGACTTGTATCTCTATCAACGATTGTCATAATCATCACCACTCTCATCACCATTATGAACATCGTCGTCATTGTCATTACTACCATCTTTCATTATTATCATCATCATTCTCACCACTGTATCTTTTGTTTTTCGCTATGCTGGTTTTTATTCTCTTTTGCTAATTATACTATATTTGTATTATTATGTTTATTAATTTATTTACCACGTGGCTAATATTAAGAACCGGCCTTATGAAACATAAGGCTGTGCCACCTAGCTATAAAGCTAGACAATAAAATGATAAAAAGACAGTGTAGTCTAGCGCACGGGCAACTCATTTAGCACTGTGGAGATATATTCTCACAATACAGGCAGCTAGGTATTAGCCTAGTAGGCCTATTCTTTTAATAGGTGGCAGTTTATATGCGTAAATAAACAAGTAATTATTTGGACAGTACAACTATAACTCCATGATTCTGCATTTTGACATCATGTATAATCTTATTGAATTGCTTTAGGCCTGTACGGTCTCCGTATTACGTAGATGACATCTTAACAAATCAGCCTATGTATGATAATGAGAATTTATGGAGTGAGCCAGGTGACATCACACATATGGAAGCAGATGATGACCGGAGACTTTACAACATAATTCAGAAGAGAGACAACGAAACTCCTGGATCTCAGGTGGGTTTTGTCTTACAAATGCACATCTATCATCATCATCTTTCTATTTTGGCCGACGCTGAGACACGGGCTTGAAAATTTAGTTTTAAATATACCGGTATGTGCTATCGATAAAATATTTTGATGGCCGATATCAACGGCATCAATACAAAGAAATAAATGGTAAAGAGTTCAGAATTATATATTTATAATGCTTGGCAAAGAACGTTTAAACGTTATAACTTCATTTTAAGCATGAATTTGGTCACCATTGGCTATACATGTGCTCTCTTCATGTTATATCAATGGCTGATGAGACCAGTCCAGGCTTTGGAAGTCGGTATGCATTTTCACCCTCCTCTTTGTGTGTGAGTTGCTGTCATTTTCAAATTGTTCGATGTTGCTAGTAATATTTAATGGAAGATTTGCTTAAGAGTGTATTTTTGTGCTGTTTCATGTGATCGTTTACCTATCCAGAGCTCACTAAAAAGAAGTTTTGTCATATGTATTTATTAAGAATTCGTCTATACAGTCGCCTTCCCAGTATAGGTGTCTGTGAAGTGTAAAGGTGGGAGAAAGCTTATGCAAAGAAATGTTCGTAAAAATAATCAACTTAAAGTGATCTTTATGAAATCTAAAAGTTATCTGTAAGCATGTAGAGGACACTTACATTTTAGTAGACGTTTTGATGTTGCACCGGTTCCAAACAGAGAAGGAGAGTCTTCCCAAGAATATCGGTGTTCACTTAGTCGTCTAGTTGGCCGTTGTTGAACTGGGTGCTGCCAAATATGTAAACAACGAATCCCAGTACCTGATCATTGACAATTTACGTAAACTAGTTGTTTAGTGCTGTGGATACCTGGAGAGTGTGATTTTTTTTTAAATTCTTATACTGAAATTTGAGCAGGCTATTGTGTTATATATTGACATGATACATTGTACTCCATATTATTGCTTAATAATACGGAGCCGTCTGTATCTTGGGTGGAATGGAATGGCAAGGAATATCCTTCGTTCAGTAATATATTTCTGCAATATGTTGAAAAGAATTAATGTATAAGTTATGTCAGTCAATATTGTTAATGAACATACAAAAACATGTAAGCATTGGTGAAATAATATTCACACACACACACACACACAAACTCATTTTAGCTTGAATTTATTGAATTTACTCAGCAAAGTTACATTAATTTTAAAACATAGAGCTTGAAATTAGTGAGATTGAAGAACATGTCCTCTTGGCACCCCTTTGGCCATTTCATGATTTGATGTGTGCCGAATATAATGATAAATAAATTAAAAACAAAACGTTTTCAGGACAAAATTCTGATAGAACATATCCTCCTACATAAGAAAAGTAAGGATTTGATAGACCAATTGTATATCGAAATCCATAATATTAACAGAATGGGGAGGGAGATATCTGCTTTTCTGCTAATTGAAGAACGACATGTGCTGTAATAGAATTATGCAATTAGAATGGCTAGTAGTTTGAAAGCTTTATGTTTACGACAAAGTTCATCGATGCGCTTTGCTAAAATAACAAATGTATGATGTTGAATCGGGATAGGGAGAAAAGGCGGATGATACTTATACTGTACTACAACAGGAATGTTGGTTCTTGTAAATTTGGCCTAGTTATGGGCCTGATTTCCGTATTAAATTTGCTTATTATAAATAAGCTTATAATTTCCTCTTTACGTTTTGTAGGAATGGATGGATTTTGATATTGAAATAAGCAAAATACGCTCTCTGAGACTAGCAATACGGCAACGTTGGAAAAAAACTTTAGATCAATTAGGTACAGTATGCAATTGTGTATATATATAATATAATAGTATCTCTGAGGTGATCCAATATGTGTAGTGATAGGGTATAAAATAGTTCCAGCAAAACTTTGTACTCTATTGCTTAGGATATCTTGGATCCACATAATAATATTTCTTAAGGAAATTGCGGTCATTCAATGTTGATACATGTATAATGAGCCTTTTTTATTCTTTTTTTGAAAGTGCTCTTTTGTTTGGAAGTTATGTATGGTTTGGTAATTTAAGGAAACACGATTATAACAGACTACAACGTATCATAAATCAGGCTGGAAAAATGTTTCAATAAAATAGACAACTAGATGATATCTGTGAGATTAAAATTATTGATAAAGTAAAGAGTATTTTAATAGATAGTTCCCACCCATTAAATGCATCTTTTACTTGGCTACCCTCGTGTAAAAGGTTAAAATCACAAGTCTGTAGACCAAATAGATATCTTAATTCATTCAACCACTTTCCATTAGAATGCTTAATCAAAATATTAAATAAGTTTTATGGCCTAATTATAATTTATTTTCTCCACTACTAGCTATTTATTATTTATACTGACTACTGCATTTTGTTTTGCGATGTGATGCACCAACTGATTTTCCGAACGGACACAAATAAAGAATCTTGAATCTTGAATCTTGAATAGGTCTAAAAAAGTAAGGTTCTGTACGTCAAAACAAACAAAATATATTGATAATGAGTTATAATAAAATAATACTAATACAATACAAAGAAAATATACGCCATGAACAAATTGCAACGATGAGTTGTGATTTCATGTGCAACAGTCGAGAATAATAAACGGTTAAAGTCTCTGTCGTATAGTCGGACAGTTGATAGAATAAATGAGATCTTAAATATATTTGTCTTAACCTTTGGATGAAGTAATCTTCAGCACGTTATTATTATTATTATTTTTATTATTATTATTATTATTATTATTATTATTATTATTATTATTATTATTATTATTATTATTATTGTTGTTGTTGTTGTTGTTGTTATTGTTATTGTTATTGTTATTGTTATTATTATTAATATTATTATTATTATTATTATTAAGGGTCTATTGGCCCTGTTCAAAGATACCGTATTGGAATTATTAGGTAGGTATTGTTAGGTGTTTTTTTTTTCAATATCATTGTGTTTTGTCTCCATTTTTGTAATTTCTACCATCGGCGCCGCGAGCAGCTCTGCTAGATATGGATACGTGCACCCTATAAGTTGACATTATTATTATTATCTTCTTGGTGCCCTGCCCACTATACTGATTACCCATTCATTGCATGCTGCCAACCAATTTTTTAATACAACATGGCTAATCAAGCGGTTCAACAATATATTGCTAATAAGACGTTTTTGTCAGTCTCTCTCCTTTATTGCATCAAGTAAACAGATACATTTAAATTAAATAAACCTTGTGAATTCATGCATCTACATACTGTTTTCCAATGATTTGTAATTAAAGATTAATATTTTCCTATCAATCTATTTTTATTGATTATTAGTATTTTTTCTGTAAGCAATTATTCGGTTTGCTTCTTTAGCATTTTACAAATCTTTATAATTGGGCTTTCACATGTTCTTCTAACAAGAATTGATGTAATAATTTTGCATGAAGACAAAATTACAATTTAAAAGCATTATTGTCCAAGCATATAAAAACAACGTCTTTCATTGTAGATTCAAAAGAATTTTTCAAAAGTTTATTTTTAACTTATTGCCATAATGTACCAACTTCAGTAGCAAAACATTCTCCAAACCTCAATTTTATCCTTACATAATGTACATACATGGGTCAAAATAATACCAATTTGAAAAAGTTATTTGTTTACATTAAGATATATCATTATTATTATGTTCATTTAACAGGTTTCAGTGACGATTCTCAAGCTTTGTTAGTCGTTACCTCATCGTCTGAAGTAAAAACTCTGGGTTCAGCACAGAGGGCACATCAGTTGCACGACGAGTTAGTCACACAGACTTCTATTTTCCTGGAGGACGTGACGCAACCGCAACGGTACACAATAATCTTGGTTAGTTTCTTATTTTCTTTATGCTACAATAATAATGATGATCATACAATTACTACTTCTATTGCTGATGACGCCACACGTTCCTGCTACTGAAGCCCAGTAACAGGAGCTACGAGATATGGGGTCCGGGTGAAAAATAGTTTGAGCACAAAAATAGCTTATGCCACTGCTGCTGTTGTATCTGCTTAAACTGCTACCACTCTGTTGTCGCTGTCCATCCTGTTGTTACTCTTGTTCTTCACTGTCGGTGCCGACGCCACTGCTGCTGATGATGAATATTATGATTATGATGATTATTATTATTATGATTATGATGATTACGATGATACGATGATGATGATGATGCCAATGAGGACGACAGTGATAGTCAGAATATAGGTTTAAATACTAATCGTAGTTAAGACATGATGATGAAAGATACTGATAATCATTATGCTGAATTGGAAAATGTTTTGTGATAACGACTATTACGGTGTAACATATAGCCTATACAAGACAAGTGTAATGAGAACAATTTTAAGGGTAATAATAATATTTACAAAGAATGCGATTACTCTAGTTGTAAATGTAATGTAATAAGTAGAGACATGAATTGAGTGACGATGGTAAATAACCAGCGGACACATCCCCCACCCCCACCCCGTCGGGGAGAAAAAGCTCAATTCGTCGGGGAGAAAAAAATTATATATATTTTCTACATATTAGTAGACTCTAAAATCGATTATGTAAGCCTTTGAAACCCGAAAATTGTTAACATTTTCGGGGGCTTCGCCCCTGGACCACTTTTAAAACCTTTTAATCGAAGCTCGACCACGCCCACATTGCTTTTGTCGGGGAAAACTGACCCCTTGTCGGGAAAATCCTGGCGCCACCCCTGAAAATAACGTATGTGTATCTTGAGTGTTTTATAAGGTAGGTTTATTGTTGTATCTACACCCTTTTAAGGATTCACTTCATTTTTCTCTATAACACTAAATATTTAACATTCTTTCTCCAGGACCGCTTACTGGACCTAGACGCTGCCGAAAATTTTGTACGGATGGCAAAGAAAATGTATCCAAAAAATATAGAGCGGGATGATATAACGTGACGTTGTCATATTGTCAACAGTTTTAATTTGTAGTTTATTCAGTCGTATTGACGACGAACATTCAATCTCAACAAGAGTGTTTATAAGTATAATCAGGCCTCGCACCGTTACAGGGGTGGCACTAGCGGGTTCGGAATGGGTCAGTCAGCTTCTCTTTTCCGACGAGGAGAAAATCGACAAAACGTTTTAGATCAAAAATTCTATATAATTTAAAATCCCCGAAATTGATAGAGCTTTCGATTCTTCACCTAGTCTGGGTTCCAGGCCCTAATTTTGGGTTACTCACTCTTTATTGCACTTAATGCGCGTCGTAACAAATTTAATTGGCGTCCCATACTCAATTTCTTCTTTTTTTTCGGATTAGGATTATTAAGACTCAAACCAAAGATAAAATTATAAACCAACTTTATTCGCTCGTTGGCGGCGCTATCTAGAATAAAGGAAAACTATAACAAGGGACTTGTCCATGGCAAATCTAAATTGTTCCCTTTTCAAATTGTATCTGAAGCATATACATAATGGTAACTGTCATAATGTCAATCAAAGGGCGGTTATAGTAATATGAAGCCGAACTTTAAAAAAAAATCTAATTTAACACAAGAAATGCTAAGAGTATTGAATTTAACTAGATGCATAGAATCATTATTGGTGGCTCACAAACTTCGTGGAACTAGTAGTTAAACTAGAGGCTATAAATGCTTATTAATTGGGATTTCTGGTAACTTGTACTGTATATAAATTGTTTTTTTTTTGTATTATGTATTATTCCTGATAATTAATATAAGTGAAATGTAGAATTTAAAAAAAATGCCTTATTTTTGGAGTGACATACTATTTGTACTTAAACTCAGTGTACACCATAAAGGTTATACTTACATTTCCATTTTGTATTTTTGTACTAAATAGTTTTTTTAAAATCAAAGCTATTGGAATAACTTGAACCATTTAAAGCATGTTGATGTTGCAGTTTATTTCAATCTAGGCCGCATTCTAATATGAATCCAACAGAATATTTACACAATGTCTAAATTCAATTTCTAGATTACAGGATAGCATATAACTTTACAAACACACCACATTAATATACATTATATATATATAAGTATATAGATATATATTTGCTTTTCATTTTTTTCTAATTTTTTTTTATAGATATCACAATATGTACCGTAGTTATTTAACAGCTTCAAAGCATTTGAATTAGCATTGAACATCGCTCAATCATTATAATGTGCTTCTAGAACCTTGTTTTCACATTAATTGCTCATTATATATGTTGTTTGGAGATATAAGGCTTAGGAATGAGCCATACAAAATAGGCCTATATAACAGTGTTCAGACAGCAATCGGGCATTTATTGACTATTCAGCTTTGTTCTCGTATTTCTTGTATAATATTAATAAATATTTCTCATCCGCTTACGTCTATTTTATTATATATAAACAACCCTAGAGTACTATATAATCTATACTTACGGTATGTAATCTCACATATGCATCAAAACAATTACATTTTCCTCTTGGAACGGCAAATACATTTTCTCTTATTTTCTCTTAGAACGGCAAATTCAAGTTATATTTTACTACATAAGTACGTTGTGTTACAGCATACATTTCTTAAATAGGATGCACCACCAAAGACAAAGACAATTTTCACAAGACGACAAATTCTAATGTTTTCTTTTATATAATATACAGTATACTATAATAAATATTATTCGATGGTTTAAATGCAATTATCTTCACATTTAACTTTTAAATTGATTTTTGGATCGATGTTCTATATTTGTCGGGGACGATCCTCTTCCCCTCGTTTTGACAGTTTAAGTTGATAAGCATCGCCCCTTCCAGATGAACGACAGTCGTTTGATGTGGGAACTCTGCATCCTCCAAATTTACTGATTGGTTTTGTCGATTCGGTCGTTTTTGTTCCTGCTTTACGAAGTGGAACTGCAAATAAATAAATAAATAAATAAATTAAATAATTAAATAAATGTTTAAAAAAAATATCATTAGCGATATTTACGAAGGGAGAGAGGGAGCGTGTTAATAGTGGAAAATCAAAACCAACATTTCCCACAGCAGAGTTAATGGTGATAATGTTTATAACAAACATATTAATTAACATTCACGTAGCGTCCAAGCAATATGTAATATTTAGCATGTCTCGTATTGGTTGGTGGGGACCTTATCGGGTGATTAGGAGACTCATTGTGATCCACCAGCAGATAGTTAGCTGTTTTCTGTCTCTGTGACTCCCAGATTGTTTTCACCTTTTGGTGTTAGTATCTGGCTGTTCTTCAGATTCAGGGCAGCTCTGTCTTTTCTTTTCAGCTGGTGGGTCATGGTGGTCTCTTCTTGATTCTGAGGTCCCCATTCACCATATGACCCATATGATTCTCTCACGGAATGTATTTTTTATTATCTTTTTATTCTTTCTTTTATATTCTGAATTGCACGCACTACTCTTTTTGCTTATAGGATCAATCAACACTAATTTCATTCATTTTTACCATGTTAAAATGACAAAGGAGTATCGTATTTTATCATCTTCGGTTACAGCAATAGAAAAACAATATATTACAATATTGAAAGAATTTCATCTGGTTAAAAATCATGAAATAGGCCTGTTATTTTTTTTTTCATTTTTTAAAGTTATATAATGCACAGCAATTCGTTTTACTTTAATTCATACAAATAGGTAAAAGTAATCATTAGTATTAATCGCACGCCGTCAATACTTACGGGTAACTTTGATGCCTGCCTTGAGTCCACATGGCCTGCCAGAAGCTTTGAAGTTTCTTGTTGCCGGGGAAATGGTTTTTCTTTGGTTTATAGTTTGCTGGTGAAACTTGCTTACTGGAGTTGGTGACACGGACTTCCGTTTCGAATCTCTGGGAACTTGAAGGGAAGATGGGTTAAGTTTGTTTTTTGGTATCACTGTCTGCTTGCTTGACGCCTTGGGTCCTTTTTTAGGATTACACTTTGAAGATCCACCGGTTGTCTGCTGAGAACTCTGGTAATTTCCATGTGGAGGTCCTGCTTCCAAGGATATTTGGTTTCCGTTGTGGGAACTTTTTTCACTATTAGAATCACTGGTTTCAAATGCTGAATCTTTCTGTCCTTCGCTACTGTTGCTACCAGCCCCAAATGAGGATTTTGTATTGGGATACGGGCTGATAACGTCAATGCTGTCCAAGACAGGCCGCTCTTGGTACTGGGTTTCACAGGAATTCTCCACTTCGGTGCTAATTTCTGCATCGTTCTGACTTCCTGCTTCGTCCGTTTGTGCTAAACTGTTATATCGCGCTTCATCATCTTGGATTGCGGTGTGGGATGAGTCTATCTCATCTTCAGACCCAATACTAGTGGCCGTTTCATCCGAGCTCCGATCAGCAGTGATTGGTTTATAACGGAACATTCTGTCGTCATCGTAACTCATCCAGACACCATGAAGATGTTGGTCATGTGTAAATGTCGTACTAGAATCGTCAGATAACGCTTGCTCATCTTCAGAAACGGGCCCAGGCTCTAGTCGGTTCCTTTTACAATTGTGATTCAACTGGCGAATCTTACATCCATAATTTGAACAAGGTAACATCGGGGAAGATGGTCGAATGCCAGAAGAAGTCGATCGCCCAGCAGCGTCTGATTCAGTACCACAGCTAACGAATAATGTATTCTCAAGGACGGCTTCCATATCAGGATTGTAATTCAGGTAACTGTAACTGTTATCCAGTGATATCGTTTTCATTAATTTTGTAGTTTCCTCAAGTGGAGTTGACGCAACAGCTGCCGCGGCGAAATCCCTTACAGAATCGGATGTTGGTAGGGTTATTGCACATGGGTTCTCGCTTTGGTTTTCTTGGTTGTCTTTGGTTCCTTTATCTTCGGAGTTTATATTTGTATTCTATCAATAAAATATTAACAATTTACATTGGACAACATCCAAAAAACACAAAATGAACATTGAACACGAAGCGTAGTGTAGAAAGATACCTTTAGTAATGTTTACCTTAGTGTTGACAGGCAGTTGTTGTTTCACCGAGTTGGGGTGCATAAGTAATAGTGTCGGAAGCATTGATGAACCTGGGGCACCACACAAGACCTGAGGAGTCTGAGGAGTGCTACCAACGAACTGATTTTGTGGCACAAGAATTAACTGAGGCTGTTGAACCAGTTGTAGCTGCTGCGATAACTGACCGGCTGCAAACTGATGGTTGGTGGATTGTGGCGTCTGCAAAAGTTGCATCAACTGGTGACTACCCTGACCAGTGGTCGGATGCTGTATGAGATGAAACTGCTGGATCTGCTGCCCCATGTTAGCACCACTCTGCTGCAGATATAAAGTTGGGTAGGGCAGCATTTGTTGGCCTTAAAAAAAACATTTTAAATATTAAATCCAATTATACATACGAAGCCTCTAGTAACTTTGAAATAATGAAATAAAATAAACAGATATGATTGAGATAATATATTTATTGGAGTGAAACATCTAGTTCTGCATCAATTCAAATAAACAAATTCAAATTCAATTGAACTTAAATAAAGTAAAATTTTAGGACTTTTCCAATAAATTCTGTTAAAAGTCGTATCATCCTATAATTGTTCAACAAAACATTAGAAAGGCAGTAGATATTGTTGCACAAGTATTAAACCAATTATTGTTACCTATTTTCGTTGAAGTTACTAAGCGCTGTACGTTTTTCCGTGATCATTGGATCCACATGCTTTAAGTTTAGCATATTGTCGCAGTAGCAGTTAACCCCACCAGGTACCCATTTATACTCCTGGTGGGGAGAACCAACGCAAACAAAGTATCTTGCTCAAGGACACAAACGAAATGCAAGCAAGGGATTAAAACCCCGACCTCAAGGTTGGGAAACCAAACTGTTTAAGTTACGCCATTACCGCTTCTAAGTTATAACTACTGTATTACTTTCCTTATCACATTCATACATACAATATCAAATCAAAATTAGGAATTGGTTTGAGACTGGTGTAACTTTAGTCATTGTCTATTAATAAACGGACATATTTAGGACTACAGATATACATGATAATTATAATGTTTCTACTTCACGTCTCTATTGATTTAAATAACTCAAAAACAATTATATAATAAATAACAATGTATTGTACAAACTTTGGTAATCACCACCAAATCATAAATATTGGACACACAAGATCTTACATATACCTGCAATACCTGCATTACACACAAGCCGTTTTAACGATTATTTGACTATACTCTAGCAGCTCACTCATCTCATGATACTGTAACTTTGTATACCAACACGCTAGGCTACAAAACAGAGACGTTAAAACTTAAATTATGAAATAAACAATGCCTAAAATGTCTTGCCTTGAACAAGTTGTAACTGTGGAATTTGTTGGTAGCTCGGTGTAGTCGGAGCAAACTGTTGAGCCATATTGGACGTCGGCGCAAGTTGCAAAAATGTCAGTCCTGTCCCTGTTGAGCCTGGAATCTGGTCGCCAGTCATGGTCTTCGTTGTTGCAGGTTGTTGATTAGCCATATTCGCAATTAAAAAATTACCCACACACAATGATGTTGTGTTTATAACTTGTAAGGACACACTCTGAATGTAACTTTTCTAAATTTTTAAACAACAAGCTTCTACTAAACCTCTTTAGAATAATCTTGTATGAACCCGCTGCGTCAAGCAAGGTATCAAAGAATGCTTGATCGCAGCCAAACCACCTGTTAAAATAATAGTGAAATTTTTATATAGCGCCCCCATTTGACAAGAACATCTTTGAGCTAAGCTAAAAAAAGTTATCGAACAAAACTAAAATCCTAACTGTTGCCATTTTGCTACCATTATTGTGTCAATATTATATCACAATAATGTTATAATAATAATAATTATAATTATAATATATCATAATAATAATAATAATAATAATAATAATAATAATAATAATAATAATAATAATAATAATAATAATAATAATAATAATACTGATTTGATAATACTCTGATTTTACCACATCTTTATTTATTTTGTTTTGTAGTATTGTTAGGTTCATTCCACAAATTTTAAGCATGCAAAACATTAATTTTTTACTCCCCTATACGAATGATTGCCTGCGTGCAATAAGATAACTGACGATGGTAGTAGACTGCCACTGCATTTCTTGTTGGGGCCGTTAGTGCCATAGAATTTTGGATTAAATGTAGGCTTTGCCAATGATGAAGATACGATCTGTTGTGTTGTTTTTGAAAATAATAATAATAATAATAATAATAATAATAATAATAATAATAATTATATAATAATAATAATAATAATAATAATAATAATAATAATAATAATAATAATAATAATAATAATAATAATAATGATAATAATAATAATAATAATAATAATAATAATAATAATAATAATAATAATAATAATAATATTAATACTAATAATAATAATAATAATAATAATAGTGCATTTAAAGGTTGTTATCCCAACAACGGGTACCTTTGAAAAATGCATGATTATGTCGTAACGTAAAGTCTACAGTCTGTTTGCGTGTATCATCAACCTGATATTACCAGTCGTCCATGTACATTTGTATTTATTTTTTATTTTGTTAATTTAGACATGAACAATAATATACAAAAAAGTTAAAGAAAACCTCTTTGCCGACACGACTTGCTACACAAACATAAAATTATGACAGTTAAGCCTCTCGTAAACGACCACCCTCGGGTCCAAGGAAATGGGTCTCTTACAAGTGTATACCACACGAAGCCTAAGCTCATTATCGGGCCTCAGGTAAAAACAAACAATACAACAACATAATATGTAATATTTTACTATTTAAAAGGCTTATATAGATATTCACCTTCATGTAATTTACTATTTAAAAGGCTTATATAGATATTCACCTCCATGTAAAATTGTGAAATGGGATGTTCGATTCCTTTACCAAGGTAAAATTCCACAGACAAATTTTCAGAATAACGAGACTGAGGAAGACCCACAACTACACGGTGACGAACAGCAGAGTGGAAAGACTAAAGTTAGGCTCTAACAGCTGGGAGGATGCAGCATTAGTGGTGAAGAACAGGAAGAAGTGGGGGAAAATAATTTATAAGGCCTCAAGAGTTACAGTGATATGGTCGGGGTGCTTACGAAAGGTATTAACTGCAGTGAATGAATTGAAAACAAAAATTGACTTATGGTAAGTGGTTGCTTAATAGAGGTGGTCACACAGGGGGTTTTAACTGTACACGTACAGAAATTTTACAAAACATACAGTGAATAGGTAGGCCAAATATCATCATTATTTTTCTATCATCAGCTATGAAATTAAAATATTGACCAGAACGCATTCATCACCGTTTCATAACGTCACAAAATTCTTATAATTATACTTCATAAAATCAAAAAGGATTTGAGAGCTAGGTCTTATCTCGAGCTCTGCCCAAAGATTTATATAACACATGTATAAATTATGATTTCCTATCAATCATATATGGGCAAATGAACAGGTATAATTGTCACATAAAATTACATACAGTTTCTTTGAATGGACTCTTCAAACAGCTTTAAGACGCCCTCTTGAGACCAATCCGGAGTGAATGCAGTTTGAGATATGACCACAATAGCGCCTACAGACAATAAAGATTTTCCATCATTCAGATCAAATCTTATACAGATCGAAAACTCTAGAATACTAAAATTATACTCTCCGCCGCACAAATATAGGAATATATAGGCCTACTGGTAGCCTATAATATTATATAGTTTATGTTAATATGGGTGGGGTGTGTGGGATTGCGTGTGGTGGGCGTAATTAACCGTTCTGGCGGTGCTACTAAATTAAACAATCGTTTAAAATTGCTGCTATGAGGGTACCAGTACATCCGATTATAATTATTAATGGTGATTAGACCAATTTAAATGCGTATCTAAGGGACTGTCTGTCCCGATGCGATTTTTATTTAAGAACATCGTGGAGGTTTGAAACTGAAAGCCACACAACCTTATATATAAATAAATAAATATATAATATATATATATATATATATATATACATACATACATACATATACACACACACCCCACACAACCTTATATATATATATACACATATATATTCATATACATATATATATACATATATATATACATATATAAATATATATATGTATATATATGTGTATATATATGTGTGTATATATATGAGTGTGTGTATATATGTATGTATGTATATGGGTGTGGGGGTGTGTGTGTGTATTATGTAGGGGTGTGTATGTAGGTGTGTGGGGTTGGGTGTGTGTGTGTGTATAGCACTTTATTATTATTATTTTGTTGTTTATATGTAATCCTATATAGGTTTATAAAGTATGATTATGGAAAGTTATAATCACCACGGTGATTTCTGTAGCTTTATTGAGGCTTAAACTGTGGGTTTTGAATTCAATCAAGAATATATATTTTGCTTCATGGCGATCTTCATTATAAGTCACTGATAATGCATCGGGTACTGGGGATTGGATTAAGAGGCCAACTGATGTTTAAACCTACATTTTATAAACCTCATTTATCATGATTTCACATACCAAGCCTTTATTGCTAAACACGTCAACACTTTAAGAACAAAAGGCTATACCTAAACATTATGCAAACGTGTCACCAAAGTTTTGAACGATTATATTTCGTTGAGCTTTCATTGGGGATCACCCTACAATATGATTCATAAACAATAATAACTTGACCCATAGATCAAAAGCTAAAGGTCTTTGACCTGTTGATACAAAATGAGTCTATAACCACATGTCTATAACTTTTGTCAAGTAATTTACACACACTTTTTACAAACAATAACAATCGCAATAACGTCACTGAAACTTCCATTCAATTTTCTCCTCAGTGCACGATAATGGTACGACCCATAAAATGTGTTGATTCGTCTACGCATGAGCGGGTGTACTAGGCAGATTATAGGTTGCAGGATTGATCGTTCACCAATGATGTCAATACATAATTAGACGATTTAATTGTCCGTCCGCCATCCAGCTCAAATTACATCCCTGTTGGATATTCAATTCGTTTACATAATTTCGACCAATCAGTGAGCGGTATTGTCCAGTTGAATAAGTCGTGATATATTAACTACAGTAGTAGTAAACTACTAGTTAAAATGAAGATACACTATCACTGAGGAAGTCATAAAGGCCATACGTCCAAGTTAATCAGACACCTATATTGAACGGCTCTGAGCAATCAGAACAATTACTGTCATCACAAATAACGTTGTTCATTGACGGATCGGAGGTTTAGCCTACTCTTTTTCCACGTCTGCTCTTTCCGAGTGACTGCTCGTTATTGTTTTAAAAGACTTAAATCTATGAAATATCGCGAGAAAAATGGAAAAACCTTCGTTTTCTATTGACTCACTACTTTCAAAGCATGCAGCACCAAGGATGCAAACTAAAACATCGTCGCCTGCAAGTTCACCACCAAGACCAGCAGTGACCTCGCCGATTCGGTCCCTACAGCACACACCTAGCCCACAACAATGTCGGACAACCTCTCCACCTAGGCCCTTAACATCCAGTAGTATCATCCCTAAACCTGGGTTATTAAACCTCTCGAGTGCATCCTCTTCTGTATTCAGCCAGCCGGCATTGATGCCTGCGTTGTATGCACATCCAGCATACGGACTTGTGAATCCGCACCATCCGATGGCACTCAGTCCTTTCCATGAACATGTAATGAAGACAGCCCATGGTTTTCCGGCCTTTAACATTGACTGGATGCGAGGTGGAATGTTTATCCCAAGGCTGGGAGATTTTGCAGGTAGGACAGATTTGTTTTTGCCAAAAACATACGTCATTCTCTTATATTACCCTGTGTATTTGCCAAAGATATGCCGAAGTAATCGGCCTCTGAAATCTTGACACAGACATACGTTATGCTATACAGAAAAAGTTATTTTACAAAATCCACAATCCCCCATTTGAGACACCCCTACTAAGAGGGACCATTATTAATGGGACACTATGCACCGCAAAATGATGGAACATTTTTTAACAATACAGTCAACCACTATTAAGGGGAAATACCATTAAGGGGATAAGTTTTGGTCCTGAAGGTGTCCCCTTGCAAGGGGTGACTATACTGCGGTAGAAGTCGTTGTTGGGTGTGAAAACTCTTGATACTTTGGGGTTGGAAGGCGAGCATCTTATAACAGTAGGCCTAGTGATAGCGACGCCATCTCAAAATCGGAGGTGTGAACCTTTTTTTTTTGCTCTTCCCCTTCGCATTCGCGCCTGTTCATCAATTTTTAATTTTTTGTTATTTATTTGTGGCTAAAAAGCGTCTTGAGGTGGTTTTTACTGTGGAATGCACTATAAAATGCATGACCCTTGACCACCATTTTGGCTACTGTAAGGATCTCCACTCTTATAAGTTCAACAGAATGATCGTTCTCATACAGTACATAGCATGCCATTCATTGTTGCCGCTACTGTAATAAAATGTATTTTTAAACAGATATTTTTATAGACAGATAGACTCGACAAGGCATATTATCTGAGACACATTTCATTATCGGGGGTGCAAGAAACGATTAAAGCTTGCCAATATTTAATGCGAACAACAAACAACAAATCAGAATCAGATATCGATAACAGACCAATTAACCTGCACACGATCGTGCTCCGGTCAAAAGGTGTCAGACCATTAATTTGTATTGTTGATAAATTCTGACATTAAATCAAATCATTGTTGGTGCTTGGTCACTTGGAGGTACTCTAATTGTACCCCTTAATGTCTAGTGATAGGAGCTATGGATATTCTTTATATATGATTTTTTTTAATATAATGTATATTTCGTAATGCGTTAGGTTATCTTAAAGTCATGATCTCCATATTTCCGGTCGCATTGTTATTGCCTATCTCACAGAATACGGCGCAGAAGACCGACCGAGTAAGGAGTCTAACCTTTGTGTAAAACTTGGTGAATACTCTCAGTTAAGGTTAAATAATCGCACAGTTATGCCATCATTGTCTCACTGTTCATCCGGCATGGTCAGTATGGAGAAGTATATATCTAATGAATGTTTTACCGTATACATTAACCTAAACAGAAACAAAAAACCCAGTTGGACATACAAAAAAAAAAATTAATAAATCAGTGGGCTCCCCTAAGTTTTTCAAAATTATAAAAAATGGAGAAAAACATATTCAAATTTACGCATGAGAGTAAAATTTCTGGCTATCGAGAGGTGCCATTATCGTAAATGTACTTACCTCAGCCCCCACCATGGTGGACCTGAGGTTGTCTAGGCGCTTTATCTGTGAAAGTCCCTCCCTGCCCCCCACCTTTTTTTGAATTTCTGGATCCGCCACTGTAAATCATTCATATAAGCCTATTGTATATTTAAATCATATGCACAAAGTCTAATTTACACAATTATGGAAAAATATGGATGGTACGTATATAAGGCCTATGTTAATAATGTTTCTTACGTAAATTTAGATTGTTATTATTTGGTTTACAATGATTTTCTATGAATTGAGACAGTAAGGCTATTCGGACGTCCGACGGTTTTCATGTGTGTTTACTGCCTGCACTAATTCCGTTATAAGTGCTTCGTGCTTCACAACTTACAATCAACAATTTATTAAAGTTTAATTCACATAATTCTGACATTTATTAATACTGTCTATATATGCCATGCAAACAGATTAGTCCTAATTGGTTTGGAGAGTCACTGTTTTTTCTTTATTAGGCCCAGAGAGAGCTAGTCGTAACGTACCGGTATATCTTTCGTGTTATTCTGAATTAAAATGTGAAAATTTAAAATAATATAGGGTAATAAAGCGCCAAGCTACAAATTCCATTTTTCTTCTACTAACACCATTTATTAAAACACAAATCTTCTATAGCTGGCTATTTGGTTGAGCGTTTGGTCGAGATGTCCCTGCTTCTTGCGCTGTATGGCCCGGTTCAAACTTAGCGTCGTGTTTTAATTGGGAGTCAATTAATCGCTCTGCTCCTCCTCGAATAAGCCTCGCATGAGTGTTAGGTGGGATAAGCTACAATGTAGGCCTATCCGTTAATATGTATCAGCTGGCGCTGCGCTGTGGCTGCATGGGTCCTCAGGGAGGGGCACAGCCAGGCGGGATAAGGGACAATGTGTCCGTTATGTGGTGTGGCACTGTGGACGTACAGGGACACAGCCAAAATTTTCAATTTCAAGTATTTGAAATTGGACAAAAAGGGGAAGTTTCATTTAATTTTGATCTTCTTTATATGGTGAATGTAAAATTAATAGGATTTATGAAACGGACCTAAAATACCATATTTACGGTAATTTAATTGATATAACTCAAAATGCGATGACGGAAATTTAATAAACTATACTTGCAGGCTAATTGCGATGCAAATATCATATAATTCCTTCGGATTGCCAGCTAATTGTTTTGGAATTGAGCCTAATAACGAGAAGATTAAATCAATCAGTGGCCGCATGAGCTTTTGTTTCGCGCTGCACCGTTTGCTGACTTACGGTATAACTATTAGTGTATCCTCGCCGTCAATCATGGGATCGGTAATTAATGTTAAGATTTCCATCTTCATTTCGTGTGTATTGCATAGAGTTACTACTCAAATTCCCCTTTAATACCAGTAGTAGGCTACCTACATTGATTGATTGGCAATGTATTTATCATAATCAACACGTCTTCTTAACAATTTTCAATATCATATTGTTGTTCAATTCCGATTTTACTAAATGCATATAGTTAGTGGTATTCGTAATACAAAGAATATCATCATTATTAATAAGGTTCAAATATTACGATTTATAGATTTCACCATTTCTACCATAATCAAGAATTCAGATAGGCTATTTGCATTCTCAATGTTCGTGCCAGTGCCAATGGTAGTCTATGTTAAGAACGCTAAATGCATCATTATGATGATTATTGATTGAATAAATGAACGACTGAATCAATGAATGAACAAACGAAATGAACAAACGATTTTAAGTTTTGTATATACAGTTCGCCCTCCGATTCGAGACCATGACTGATGACCTTAAAATTAGGGGTGGTCCCAAGATACGGTCTCGACAGAGAGGGTTAGCTTTGTGTTTCTTATTTGGTAGATTCTAATAGTGGTCTCGAAATAGCAGGATCTCGGAATTGAGGAATCTCAAAGTGGAGGGTCTATAACGAGCAGCCAAATATCAGGCTTACTTTATGGGGATTTTTAACGTACTCTCCCAATAATTTACAGTTGTATCATTATTCAACTCAGTCTAGTATGACGATGTATCAGTACAACACCGTATTACATTTAACACAATGCCTGTTTGGTTTGTTAATAGCTACCCAAGAAATGGTATTTCAAAACAACATACAGTAATATAAAATGTACTTCATCATAGGCGTGCTAAATGTAACGAAGCGATCTTGAATGTGTCATGATGTGCATTTTAAGTAACAAGAATAATTAATGAGTACCGTATTTAACCGCATAAAAAACTCCAACTATGATAGGCCTAGACTATCATACTTTAATAATTCATATACGTGTTGCTAGGGAATATAGACATCCATAAAATGAGATAAAGACTGTAATATCTCATACACTCTTGAACGCTAGACGTAGGCTCTCTTAAAAACACGTACGCTGCTCGCGTGTTCACTCCGCTGTGACTAACGATCGATCTTGCTTGGCCTCCGCTCTTATGTCGGTCCTTTATTACGAGGTAATAACTAGTTAACGAAATATCAACAAGGCAATGTCGTTTGATCTGCAACTCAAGAGTTACAAATCGGTGTAAAATTGGAAATTATTATTAGACTCTCGAGTGGTTGACAACCAAAAGTCAGGATACGGAATGCGGTCCTTAATGAAATAATACGTACAATTTAATTGCTGTTAATCACAACAATTACTGTTCGCTAAAACATGTTATGAATCTTGACAATGTTGTCTGTATATCACTATGGTAACATATATCTTTGACGATGTCGGTCTTCTAAGTATCCCGGATGTCATTAGGTCTATAAATAAAGTAAAGTGGGTTGATTTCTCTTGATGTATGAAACTATAAGAAATATAGGCCAGCGGGGTTGAAATAAAAGCTATAAACTTTTTTTTTAAAGTAAAAACTGTGGAAAAAACCAAAATAATTTTACAATTGATGCAGACCTAAATATTATTATTACCGTAGGTTGTGAATATGACTTAATTGTACTAGTCATTAGTCAAATATTGTTAATTATCCTATATCGCTTCTCGTGCAATGCCAATTATATCCCATTCAACAAGAGTACAGTACTGAAATTTAAATTAATTTACCCAACACAGTAACTGGTCATTAATTATGATATTATTAATGATGTTGATGGTTTATTCTCTCTCGATTGTTGATATTTATCTTAACTTGTATATAGGTATATTAATTAGAATGTATTGAGCGTCTTAAGAATATAGGAGAGGCTTTTTAAAACCATTTTTTTTAAAAGTTTATTATGAAACCGTCCACAAACGGGTACCCGTATACCTTGCAAAGATCTCTGTTAAACCATTAAACACGTTTCAGTTAATGAAATTTGCTTTTATGGGTTTTTCCACTATTAGCCATCGTGGAGATGGGAGGGAGATTCTTTACACACACACATATACACTCGGATATTTCAATGTAGGTTTGGCCCTTTTCTAGAATATAGAGAAACAGTTTGTTTTCAATTGCCTATGAATCAAATAGGATAAGGATTAATTTATTGTTGTATCATTAATATGACCTATTGTTAATTTTTTATTTCTTGTATACTTCAAA